TATTGAAGATTATCCAATAATCGTTTATATTACATTTAATTATGTTTCTAATTTGCCTTATTCTTGTTTGATATGGTCAAATAAAGTTGTCTTACGATAAATCTGCACGTATTTCCGGAACTAACAATAATTTTCCAATGTAAATAATAATATTCAGATTTATGACGTGCGTTACGGGTCGTATAACAATATTAAGCTCATGCACATTGAGGAGACCTGTTTGTAAGTGAAACCATGTGAGTAGATTTGGGTCAAACTCGTCGGCGGCTTCGTTTTAGCAAAAATTTCCACAAATATTCCTTATTAAATGTTACAATATCACATATACACTTGTCAGTCAAAACAGTTTCGTTTTTAATAAATATATCAACGATTTATGATGGTTCTAGAACATTGTTTATGAATCTTTGCATATACTGTTACATATGAATTTTATACTTGAAAGTTGAAGTAGCGATATTAAAGATGATTTAACAATTACTTTCATAATAATATTATATAACCTAACTGAGGTTTGAAAATATTTTATTTTTTTTATCTCATAGTTTTTTATATTATAAAATTAAATTAAAGGTTCTCCACATACATGATAAATCTTCACATGCATAAAATGTAATTATAACAAACATTTTAAGATTGGTGTAAGATTATAATGACTAACCATTATCTTATAAAAACTGAATATGAGTGAAATGAAAATACTGCTATTTTAAATTTGATGCCAAAAATTAAATTTAAAATATGAGAATCCAATTAATAATATTGTGTGTACAATAATAATAGTACGAATTATATGCTTCTTGATCGAAAATTTCTATCTTCAGTGAATAAGCCCTGATCGTTAATAATTTTTAAAAAAATGGGACATTTTACATTGAATGATAAGATTTGGCATTATGAATTAAATTATAAGTTGTGAACAAAGAGATTTTTAGACTTGTATCAAAGATTTATTTTTGCATCAGAATATCGTGAAAAAAGTTTTGCAGAGTTTATTATAGAATTCATCATATAAAATATTCATTGAAGTCGATCAATAAATAAATTATAAAATAAATAGCAGTTTTCAAGACGCTTACAAATTTAACTATCAAGTATGTTTATGTGAAAAAATATATATCTAAATACTTGCCAAAAGAATGAATGAATGAACTTGGCATAATATAAATAATTAAAATACTCAAATAAAATAAACTTATGTTTTTGCCATTAAACAGAACACATTTACGAGCATTTAAACATTATTAAACGATATAGCTTAACGGCTTCTGAATATAATATTATATGTAGCGCATATAATATTTCATTTGATGAACAAATGTCTTTTCGAGATCTGTAAATCATAAAATATCAACGTTCAATGCTTTATTGTCAAATGAATAATAAGGAACATGAAGCTGTATAGAATACAAGAAAATCTTTTAATACATATTAATCAGATAACTATATTTTGTTTTCAATAGTACGAATAACTCAAATTAGATCGTATGTAAAATTGGATGTAAAATGGCAATTCTTGCAAAGTTTACGAAAGTTAGCACAATTCAAAAAAAAAGGTTTATGTAAAAATCACTGTTAAAGAATACAGATACTTTTTTTTGTTAGAGTTTCAGTTCTATGATAGATCTATTTTATTGAATATACAATATAAAACTTGGTTGGGTAAACAGATCGAGTTCATTTTCTTTCTTTGAAGCTACTATAAGCTATCTGAAATAGTATAATCAATATTTTAAGTAATTTTTTTGGGAGTAATTGAATTATTACCATTAGTAACCAATGTAAATCAATCAATAATAGTCAGCATAATGAGTTTGGAGAAAAAAAATGTTAGAAGCTTTATTCGAAGTTGTATTTTTTTTATGGTTCTGAAGAAGATATAATACAAATAAGCACAACAACCGTATTCTTCTGAAAATTCAATAAATTTGCAAGATTTCATATATCAAAATTTATTATTTTAGCATCAATTTCTTTCCACTGTTTAAAATTCTTCTCGACTTTCGTATGGAATTATGATTAGTTTGTTTGATTAAGAACATTAAGTATTACAAAAGCAATCAAGTCTTGTGGCACCAGACCACCTGCGTTACTTCTGACAATAGCAACAATCAATACATTGTAAGTTGTAAGATTTCGATAGTTATTCTAACAGTTGTACGAATTCTTCGATTGATGGCCGAGAGCACTTAAAGAATAGACGAACCGCGAGCGGTCACTCTATAGTTTATCTGTGAGAATTAATTTTGCCCTATGTCAGATGAACGATTGATTAATGATCATTCTTGATAGATAATAATAATTGTTTGATATTTCGTTCTTCAAATCACATGACACCCAATGATTTGAGGTTGAATGATTTTGTCATTTAACCGTTGTCGGAAATAACGAGTGAAGTAGACCAAATAGTATAAAATTCTAGGCTATAAGTTTGATTGAAATATCGTTGTAATACTAACATTATAACGGGCAATATAAGATACTAATATTGATTTTATTGCTAATCGTGTTAATGGATTTTCATATTTTTTGAAACGAATTTTTGGATAACGCAGGCAGTATTTACGTTATTTCATTTCTAACTGAAAAAAATCTATTGTAACTTATTTTGTAACAGACAAAAAGCAGGGGAGAATTTAACTTTAAATATTCAAATATAACTAAATACAGCATTAACGATTTTTGTCTCAATATGTAAAATATTGTGTATGTTCTGAATCTATTCATGTTATTTTAAGTATATTGTTATTACAATTAATGTTGGTCATTTAATTATCAACTAATTACGAAAGATAATACGATGATTAGCAATTTAAAACGTACCAATTTAATTTTAAAGGTATTTTTAAACATTTCATTAAGATTCACAGTAAGTTTGTGTGTTACCTACAAAAACTGCCAGGTCGTGCACTCATTAAAATTCGTACACTCTGCAAACCGTTATGCAATCACAAGTGTAATTGCTTTGCGAAGGGACTAACGATGGCCTTATTGTTTAACTTACTAACTTTAACTTTAACAAGAAAAAAAAAATATTTTGTTCCGAATTGTTTTATGACATTACTTTTCACCTATTTAGCTATTACCTATATATTAATACATAAATTGTAGTTTATAATATTTTAGAATTATGGTTTAATTATCATAATTATATCGAAATATCATCGGCATATGTTATAATTTGAACAATTTGATTAATACAATTTAATATTAGAATTTCTTTTAGAAACATAACCATTTTTATTAAAATAAAAATAATAAAATTTCTCCATGTTTTGATTTTCATATAAATTTATTATTGATAACTTGTTAAGTATAGATAATCAGTTATTTTCTGTTTTGAGAAAATATTTCATAGTTATCAATATATATTACACGAGCTAACCTAGCAAGGCAAAATATCCCCAAGCGTGAATTTGCGTTTAACTTAAATTTATATATTCTTGAATAGCATGAGGATTCCAGCATATTTCCGTTGATATTAAAATGTTTATATACAATAAATTTACTCTTTTGTATACTAGAAAATGTAGAAGTAAAATAATTACCGTATATTTTTCGTAAATTTTATTGATGCGCGGGCGTAAACAAATAACTATTCGCAGCCGGTGGAGCGATCTTGTCATTTGTGTAAGATTTAACCTACTGCGAAAAATATCATACAAAAAAAACAAAAATTAATAAAATTTGAATATAGAATGAATTAAATATATTGATATATAAATATAGAATGCTTTTTTATTGGATTTATTATCCATAGCAAACTAATCTGCTGATAAACTTATAATTTATTGTATTAAATTTTCTAAACTGTTACTTAAATTCGTTAAATTGCAGCATCCACAAAGTCAGCAACAGCAACAACAACAACCTCAATCGTCATATGCCAAACATGACCAACTTTTTCGTTTTATATCCTCCTAGTTTTAATGAGAGTTTGTATCCTAATGAGAAAATTTGTATTTAAATATCGAAACTCTAATCACTACTAGAACAGTTAACAATTTAATCTGTTTTTTTTGTTAAACTTGTTTATTGTCTATTGCCGGTTGCACTGTTCATTGACTGCGCATTGATTGCCCCAGAATTCATAAGCATTGCATTAAAAAATGTACACAAATTTCTTCACGGCTGCTTTACTGCCGCAACGGGCAACGCAGAGCGTGAAAAAAATTGTGTCGAAATCTATAAATATTATTAACATAAATAGAAAAAACTCGAACACCGTATCGGTGTATTACTTGCCCAACTGCAAGCATGGTTATTGAGAAATTAATATAATTACAGCAAAAATATTTTAGTGAAAATGTATTGAAACAATAAGCAACAACAGCAGCGATCGGTTAGCACCTAACGTTTATGTTGCGAAAGTTTTGTTTTTTCTTACTTGGCCAATCTAATATGTGCAACGAATATTCATATTACGAGTTTCCTAATGATAGCCGCGAAATACTTATTGGTATCAGAAATGGGCGGTGTTGTGGATTTGATTGCAATCTTGGCAATAAACAAAACATACGCCGCGGTCAGTTTTACCTCACAATGATAAAAACGAATGTTCAATGTGGTCTCGAGTTATTGCACAAAGGAAATCAAAACAATGCGACATTTTCGACACAGTTTATGCATAGTTATATTTAAAAATTCCATGATTTATTAGATTTTTCACATAGAGTATTTGATCTGATAAGGATTTAAGAAATATTAAAGAAACAATTTTACGAGTTTGAACCACAAACAATTATAGATACTCAAAGCTATATATGATTTTGCATTTTAGCTACAGCAAATAAATATATATGTTAAATTTTAATAATATTTTTTCTACTTTCAAATGTTAACAACATTGTGTAATGTATTTTTTCTTCTTTCAGACAATAATCGGTATCAACAAGAAATGGAGTCGAAACCGCCTAGGAATTAGCATCAACCCATCAACACAGAGCACATTGGCGGAGCAGTAATCTGCACGCGATCGTGTGCCGTGTCCAGAAAGGAACATGAAGTATTCGGGTAGCAGGATGTCGATCGCTTCAAACCATGACTCCGAGGTCGACTCGCTGCTCCTGAGCCACACTTGCTGGACCCAACAAAGTCCTACAGATAGCGAACATTATCTGCTAACCGACGGCGACAAAATGCTCCTTACAAGTGGACAACAAGAAGGTTTGCTATTAGCTTCCCAACCCTTAGAAGAACTCAAACCTCTGCCGCCGTTTGCCGGTTACACGGGGCATTTATCTATTAATGGGATACCTGGGCATCATTATCATTCTATAGCACAAAGGCCGCAAGAAGAAAATAATAATTATACTCAGCAATCGCAGCATCCACAAAGTCAGCAACAGCAACAACAACAACCTCAACCGTCATATGCCGAACACGACCAATTGGTGACCAGTTCGACATGTGCGCCTGATTCGTGTTTAGGCAACGATGTTAAATTGTTCGATGAGCCTCGAGGATTGACTACAGAATATGATATGAGTTCGATAGAAGACATCGCGGCTATCATTGGAAGTGCGATTGCTGACACTACAGTACCCTCTCAATTAGAAGGAGAAGCGGATGCGACAGGATCCAGAGACTCCTGGATGGATCTCGATGCATGGATAGATGGGGCATGTTCACACCAAGACTCTGGCGGGGCATCTAGCAAACCCGGTCAAGATCAGGATGAATTTGTATTACCGAATTCTCCTTTGCAAAGTCTATTAACTCATGGGTATATGCCACTATTGCAAAATCGGTTGACGCACGGTCCTCCTGTGAAAGCAGAAACACCATCTTCTACAAATTATGCAGATATAATATCTGCATCAAGTCCGCCTGGCGGAGTGGTTTCAACAACTGATAATTTATTGTTAAACGGGCGCTATCTTCCTCACCATTATGCTCTCGGTCACGGGCCATGCAGTCCGGATAGACTAATCAGCTACCCGCATACAACAAGCACAACACCTTCTAATAGTAAAAGTAGTAAAAGGAGCAGGGCTCAAAAGAAAGCAGCTCAACAGCAACAACAACAACATCAGCAGCAAATGCTGAACAACAACATTGGATTTCAGACAAACACCGCGGCGGATCTGGGTGGTTTGTTAGGCAAAGAGAAACCAGTGCACCGCTGCAACATTTGTAATAGAGGGTTCCTTAATAAATCAAACATCAAAGTTCATTTGCGCACACATACGGGCGAAAAACCATTCAGATGCGAGGTTTGTTCGAAAGCTTTCAGACAAAAAGCGCATCTGATAAAACATCAACAAATACATAAGCGCATAGGACGAGATTGAGTTAGTTATCACGTATTCGCGCTTGGGATTTGCAAACGCCTTTATATATATATATATATATATATATATATATATATATTTTTAATTTGCAAACTGCCGTACCATAAATGACTTGGCCAGATATCAATTATTGCACGCTTTATTTTGATAGTTTTGTCCTATATAACAAATAAACCTCATTATAACTCATAAGTAAAAATGCAATTATTTACATTTAATTTATTTATTTAAAATATATAGAAGATATTTATATGTGCTTAATGAAAATTTGGTCAAATCATTGAAAAGTGATAATTTATTTCTTGAAATTAATCAAATTCTTGCCAGTTTGTATGTAAATCAACTAGAGTATTTCGTAATCTTAAACATTTTCCAGAACAATCTAAGTTTTTTGATGTAACGAAAAATATTGAAATGTACATAATTATATGTGATAGTAGCTGTTTAGAAATGGGCACATGATGAGTAATTCCTAAAATATCTCATTGCAAACATGAAATTTGCGTTTTGAATTCCTTATATAATCATGCCTCCTATATTTGGCTACAAGTCGTTACCGGATAGATATAACACTAATTGTACATAATACTATATTGTAAATATAAATTTGTAAGTTATGATTTACTATTACATTTGTAAGTTACTACTATTACATTACTACATTACTAACGCTTTGAACAGCATCACAAAATGGTACCGCAGTTAGCAAATACGGAATTTAACGCATTTTTTTATAATCGAAAAGTCACAGAACCGAATAATTCATTAACCAAATACCGTACGCGCAAGAAAAACGACCGTAACGCTAGAAATGAGTTAAAATGCAAAGTCTACACGAAATTAATTGGACCGCAAATCGAGTTACAGTTTCGGGATGTTGTTGATTTTTATTCGAATCATCGGATTATAAGAGTGAAGAGATGAAGTAGGAATGACATTGCACAGATGCGATCGTAAGTCGAGGTTGATCGTCTGTGTTTTTCGGCTGCGTTTGTTCCAATTCTTGCTTCGCCGTTTGGCCCGGGTCGGCGCGGCTTATACCGTTACAGGCATTACTCGCGCGCCTAATAAACAGAATTCGGAATATGCGAGCGAATCGTCTTTGTAACGTATGCATGTGCTCGAAGGCCAAGAAACAAACACGGCCCGGCACAAAATTTTGGGATCCGATTATCCGGACGAATTAGCGGCCGACGGCTATTGCTGGATAGCGATCGCGACACAATGCGTACGTGCGAATGTACGGTGATTATTTGCACACTATTGTATACACACTAAATAAAATCTTAAGTGGATCACCACAGTACCGAACTTGTAATGGATCTATATAACTTTTGCCACAAACAGTGAAATGCAATTACTCAGTTATTATAATTTTGCATAATTAACTACATTGTTAATTATGAAAAATACAAAAATATACTTATATCGCGCAGATATCAACAAATTATTCTATATTAGACTTATGTACATAATTTTTCTATTAACAGTGTGGTATTAAATTAAATAATTGCAACGAATGTCTTAGTCTTAGCTGATAGAATTTATTTCAAATCAACGCCCACAATTTTGCTTAAGTATTTCGCATAGCTACTTATAATTTTTGAAAAAGACTCGTTTATTCTAATAAATATTTTAAAAATTTAATTAAAGTATAAATCTAAAATTTTGCAAATTAGTCAACTGTGAAATGCCCTGCTTTTAAAAAAAATGCACTGAAGTGTATTGGCAAGTTTTATCTTGGCGCATTCAATCTTGAATGTAAATTGGTAAAATAATTAATAGTTAGATAATAAAAAATTGAGTAAGAAATAGCTAACGCATTTTGCTCATATTCAGTTCAAATATTTCTGATTATGAGTAAAATGCACTATAATAATTATGTTATTTTTAGATTTTTATTTTTGTACTCGATTTTTTCCGTATCATGTGCTTTAACATTTTGCAATCCAGATTAAATGATCAAATTTTTGATAGAACTTGCCAACATACTACAGTGCTTTTTTTTAAGTAGGGCCTAAAGTCGACCAATGTTGAAAATGTTAAAATTATGAGTTAACAAATATTCTTAATTCTAGAAAACCTGGTGCAAGTGTATCATTATTTGTTTATTGTGGTCCTAGAAATGTCATTTACTGGTTCGGATTCAAAGTTTTAATGAAACAAATTGATAAAAATTTACCACAATATTCGAAAAATTGCCACAGTTTCACCAAAGCTCTAGGTTGCACTTGAAAGCTCATTTTCAAACTACATACATGAAATTTAAAAAATTCTAATTATACTACCAATATTATCACCTTTGTTTCGGCTTGACGTTGAGTTATTGGACATCCTGTATATATATAATTAACCACAATAACTAAAAAAATGTCACCAAAACTCTTGGTTGCACTTGATAGCTCGAAGATTCAAACTAAATACATGAAATTAAAAAAAATCTAATTTTACGATCAATATTATCACCTTCGTTTCTGCTTGACGTTACGTTCTGGGACACTCTAAATATAATTAACCACAATAACTAAAAAATTATCAAAGTTTCACCAAAGCTCTAGATTGCACTTCATAGCTTATAGTATTCAAACTTCATACATGAAATTAAAAAAATTCTAATTTTACGACCAATATTATCACCTTTGTTTCGGCTTGACGTTAAGTTCTGGGACACCCTTTAAATATTATCAACCACAATAACTAAAAAATGGTCAAAGTTTCACAAAGCTCTAGATTGCACTTGAAAGCTCATAATATTCCAACTACATGAAATTAATTTTTTTATAAGTTTTTCCATGATAGTTACGACCAATATAACGACTCGTTTCAGTTTAACGTTGGGTTCTGGGACACGATATATATGTATCTAATTTTTCTCGGTGGGTCAACATTTTATACTTATTTAAATAAACATGCAACAACAAAGATTGGAAATACAATTTGCGAATAAAAGTGGCTTTGAAATATTTTGCATATTTTCAAAGATATCTCGGCCAATTATGAGCTAAAGAGTTGAAATTTGATATATCGAATTTTTTCAAAAAGATCTATAAAATGGCGTCAAAATAATTTAAATTACAGCTTGAGGCCAGATCTGCATGGTAACACGAACATTGTTACAATTATCTATGTATCTGCTAAAATATTATCCATATCAATCAGCTGATCTTTGATAATGTACTATTCGCATAATTCCCGTTCAGCGATATTCTTAAAATTTAACGATCTTTTTGAAGATATAAATATTCATGCGTAAATGCACACCGTTCCATATAGAATTAACCGTTTATTTACAAATGTACGTTATTAGACACAAACACAACCCAGCGGCGATTTAATTGGTATGACGGAATAACTGCAAACGGTCGTCACATAGCTCGAAAATTTTTCACGAAATACGTAGCAACGTCGAACAGACACCGATATAAAATATAAATCGTGAAGTCCGGTAACGGTAGTCAGGCTAATCTGAAATTCAGTCACTGTTCTAATCTGCCTTTGAAATCAGTTGCCGAAATGCATTACCTGATGTATAATTAGTATACCACGTAAAAACAGTTCAACTGTGCTCTGTGTGGTAAAATAAATTCAGAATTAAGGAATTTATCATGCGTGAAAATTATAATTGATGCAAGATTAAATATATAATTTTTATGGGTAAGATCAGGTGGTCGAGTTTTTGATAAAATAGTAGAACCGCAATAACTGTTTTAGAATAAAAAAAATCGGTAAAATGATAACTATAACGTTTAAATGTAATTTCAAATACAGGAAGCCAAAAATCTGTAGCTCAAATTTTTACCCCTATCGAGAAATACCTATATATATTTTTTTAATATACCCTTTTTGCAAATATTTTTATGCCACAGCATGAGACCTACACATATCATAACTCAATCTATCAGGAGGTTATAGTTTGGCATGGCGTGTCTGCCAAACTATATTCTGATTGACTCCCGATTGACTGTAATAGAAACTTTATTCATTTTGCTAAATATTGCTATGTGATATTTTTTTGCCAAACCTATTTTTTTTCCTCGAGTCCACAGCATGAGACCTACACATATCCTAATCTCAATCGATCAGGATATAGTTTGGCATGGCGTATCTGCCAAACTATACCCTGACGAACTCATGGCTGTAGTAGGAACTTTATTCATGTTGCTAAATGTTGCTATGTGATATTTTTGTGAAACCTATTCTTTTTTTCTACGTGACAGATGTAATTTCATTAACGAATTACAATTTTGATACTCAAAGTGCAAGAATCCAAGTATAAGACCCTTTACTGCTGCACTGATTCCGGCCTTCTACGTAGATGAAAATAAAAAAATTCTCATTAAACTATATACTATTGTCTGTAAAATAAATAAATAAAGAAAAAAAATCAAAAATTGACAAAATGACGGCGTTTTTTAAAAAAAGTCGAATTTTACCCAAAATTTTCGTCGTTTTTGGACTGCCAAAATACGATTTTTTATCTGATCAAAAAATTGATAGTTTATTTTACGGAGAACTATATATAGAACATGTAAAAAAAATTGATAGTGATCGGATCATTTGTTTTTGAATACTCGCTGCAGTAAATTCGGAAAATGCTGTTTCGAGAAAAACGCGTTTAAAGATTAAATTATCCTTATACTGTATACTATATATAAACTCTTTAAATGGCTGTGACTCAAAAACTATTTAAGATATTGATTTAAAATTTTGGCATGTTATGTTTAAAGGTATAACATATCGAAATACGGAATAATTGAAAATTAGATTTTTTGAAAACTTCACACTACTTGTGCCCCTTAAATATTACTAATATACTTGACTATTAAGAGATTTTATATATACATTTTCTCCGTGAATTTATTAAAGTCAAATTAACTAATTAAATTTTCAAAAAAAAACTATCGAGAAAGCCAAGATAAGAGATTCTTCAGATATATATGTATTTAAAAAGAAATTAAAGTCGAGTTAATTAATTGCATTTATAAAAGTTTATCAAACAC